AAGCTGTGAATTTCAAATATTCAAACCCTTGTATTTTAGGTGAATACAGATGTTTTATCTAATGTACTGAAAAGAGCACAATAAGTGCGTACTTTTGAATCTGCCATGGTGCCTAATTGTCTGCTGTGGAACTCTAATGTCTTAATGGAACTCTAATGTCTAATGTCTTCAAATGCCATCTGAAAAAAAGCTTGATGTGTTTGCCAATACAGCACTTTGCCTCCAACTTCTAGTTGATCAAAACAAGGTTTATTAAAACTGAAACTTTCAGGAAAAACAACCAATTTTGCCTAAACTTTAAACAATACTGACAAATATTAGAACTTATTTTGAATGAGATTTATGATTCTTACCAGTGTATAAGTTTTCAAAACAATGACATACCGTAGCACTTTAGCACAGTTTTAGAGGATTTCAAGAAAACTTGATACTTGGTGTGAATATATGTAGAGGTAAAATAGGGAACAGAATTAATGGAAAAAATGGTTCAGTTCACAGTATCGTATGAATCCCAAGTGAACTTATCCATAGTGTATAAGTGTTTAGGCTTCAGAGTCAAATAAATTTGGATTTGAGTCCCAGCTTTGTCAATTACTAGCCATATGACCTTGGGCAAGTGATTTTCCTTTATGTCTCAGTATAGAAATAATATCTATCCAACAGAATCAATTGAAATAAGTGCCTCAGTTATTCAATAATGGCAGTTATTATTATGACAACATTCATGGTAAGAATATCAATCTGCAACGTATCAATCGTGGTTTTTAGCTGCAAGGAAAAAAAATGATCTCTGGCTCTTGTAAAAACATATACAATATTTTTGACTAGGAATCTATGTAGCTTGTGGATTTCTTGGGAGGTTGGCACACCCGACTTGAGAGCTACATAGCCAAAAGCATAAGGAGACTCAAGAACTGCTTCCATGAGGACCCCACTGCTAGCTGTTCCTTGCACAGTGGACACACTCTACCCTGGGCTAAGGGTGCGTCTGTTGCCTCCACTAGGTGGGTGCTGTGGTCGCTGCCCCATTAATGTCTGATTGGTCACATGAGTGCATCGCAGAGGCCTGGGAGACTAGAACAAGGAGTTTCTGGAATCTACAGTCACACTTTCAGTCAGAGATGTGCTCTGTCTGGCACCTACATTTATATGATGGGAATCCTCCAAACATAGGAGGAGATTGAGAGGCTGAGTGGCCAAAAATACACAAGTATGCACTATCCTTCCCAGGGAGCCACAAATTTTAGAGATTGCCTTGACTCCTCTCTTTTCCCCCATACTCCACATCCAATCCACTGGCAAATCTGTCAGCTTCACCTTCAGAATATTTCAGAATCTGACCACTGCACCTCCGCTCTACCACTACCAGCCTAGATCAAGCCCTTATTATCTCTTGCCTGGATTACTGACTCAGCCTCCAGTCATTCAGCCTCTTACAGTCTATCTTCAACATAGCAGTCAGAGTTCTCTTAAAAAATATGTCAAGGGGCACCTGGGTGGCTCAGATGGTTGAGCATCTGCCTTCAGCTCAGGTCATGATCTCCGGGTCCTGGGATGGAGCCCCAGGCCAGTCTCCCTGCTGAGGGGGGAGTTTGCTTCTCCCTCTGCCTCTCTACCCCCACTCATGCTCTCTCTCTCTCAAATAAATAAAAATCTTTAAAACGTTTGACTTAAAAAAATATGCCAGACCATATCATTCCTTTGTTCAAAGTTCTCCAGTACTTTCTCTTTTGTTCAGGGTGAATGCCAAAATTATCATTGTGACCCACAAGGCCCTTTCCATTAGTCTTTCTCTCCCCCATTCATCTCTCTATTATTATTATTCTCACCCTCTATTACTCTATCACAATGCCAGCCATGTTCGAAACTCAGGATCTTTGCACTTGTTTTTCCCTCTGCCAGGAACATTTGTCTCATTGATCTTTACAACTTGCTCCTCTATTTCCTTCAGCTTTCTTCTCAAATATCACCTTATCAGAAAATGTTCTCTGACCATTATATAAAATTGTGACCCTCTGGCCCCCAGGACTCCCATCCTTTTAAATTTTTCTCTATAGCACATTAATCACCATCTGACATTCTGTATATTTCATTGTTAAATTGTTTCTGCCTCCCCCTATTGAATATGAGCACCAGCAAGACAGGAAATTGATTTGTATCCTCAACATCTAGTTGACACACAATAAATATTTGATGAATGAATGAATGATAATAGATCTTTAATTATCACTTTATTCATCTTCTAAATAAGGTACTATAAGGTACCCTACTTACTGTACAAAATGTACGAAACAGTGTCCACACAAAATGTCATCTTTCCTTCACACTGTTGCCAGAGTCATGTTTTTAGGATAGATCTTATTATGCCACTCACAAATATATGATTTTTCTCTTGCTTCTGACTGCTGATAAGTGTGTTTCTCAATTTGGGGTATGAGAGGATGGAAAAATCACAGGATAAAGTGATACATCATTCTAGCCCAGAGGGTCAATTGTACTTTTAGCATTTGAGGGAGAAAGTTTCCAATTTTATTCCTCTTAAAAAGTTTGCCACATGCGTGTTTATATACAAATAGAATCAAGTTTTTCCATTTAGTTCAGTTAGGTAAAAATCATGAAAATCCAGGAAGGAAAAAAAATGTGTATAAAGCAGTGAGTGATTAGAAAATTTGTTCCTTCTGTGTTGTTAAGTAGCCTTGTCTATTTATGTTCTAACTGAATCAGAATGCACAGGGTAGTTAAGAACAATATGAAAAAGGATTTGGGGGAATCACATAATGAGCTTGATGTGGAGGCAGATAACAGCTTTCCAAGCACAACTAAGTCTTTTGCAGTAAGTAATACCAGTCAATTGTAAAAGCTTATACTGTACTCATTAAATTTTAAAGTAACTTTAAAAAGCTTATACTGTACTCATTAAATTTTAAAGTAAGTAATACCAGTCAATTTTAAAAGCTTATACTGTACTTAATAAACTATGGGTTTTGCTACTGTAGAAATGGCAGTTGACTACAATTTCAAGTGTCTCTTTAAAAAAAGAGAGATTTTATTTATTTATTTGAGAGAGAGCAAGCAGGTGCACAAGCAGGGGGAGCGGCAGGCAGAGGGAGAGGGAGAAGCAGACTCCCCGCTGAGCAGGGAGCCCGATGCGGGACTCGACCCAGGATCCTGGGATCATGACCTGAGTGGAAAACAGATGCTTAACAGGCTGAGCCACCCAGGCGTTCCTCAAGTGTCTCTTATGTGAGAAAACACTAAGCAAAAAGAAGAAGAAATCATCACTCTTGTAGTGATACTTAAAAACCAACTACATGACACCCCTGAAGAAGAATAAGTTGAGGTAGTTTGCTCTATAGTATATCAAAACACAATAAAGCTAGATTATTAAGGCAGTGCAATATTACCCGAATGGGAAAAAAAATAACCAATACAACATGCTAGAAAACCTGGGAACAGAAGCATGCATTCAGAAAAAAAAAATACCCAATACAACACGCTAGAAAACCTGGGAACAGAAGCATGCATTCAGTTACATAGGACATAGCAGGGAAAAGATAGGCTGACTGTTAAATAAATGATGCTCAATTATTCATTAAAAAAGAATGACATTGGTTCCTTTGTCAGTATGATACAAATCAACTCCATACAAATTAAAGAAAAAAACTTTTAATGGAAACTATTTAATCTTTAAGCATAAAATTTGAGAAAGCATTGGAAGTAGAGGAATTTTTAAAAGGAGACCAGAAAGCACTAACCATAATGAAAATGATTAATAAATTCAATCATATTAAGATCAGGTACTACTGTTCATTAAAAGACCTCCCAAAGAAGGGAAAATACAAGCCACAAACAGAGGAAAGATGTTAATAAGACATATAACCAGCCAAGGTTTAGTAGCCACTATATATAAAGTACTCCTAAAAATCAATGGGAAAACTCAAACCCATAGAAAAATGGGTGCACCGCATGAAGAGGCATTTCACAGAAGTGGAAACACAATTAGGGAATACACATATGGAAAGATGTTCAGCCTCATTTATAAGGAGGGGAACGCAGATTACAACCACAATGATACACTATTTCACATTCACCAGATTGACAAAAAATTTTTAAAGTAAAAAACCCTCCTAAGGAGGGTTTGACATGACAAGGAAATGAAATGGCAGGAACTCTTCTATAGTACTGAAAAAAAAAAAAGGCATTATCTGTTAAATTTATAAGTACATGGACTCCATGACACTTGATATATATCCTACAAAATATATCCATTGCATAAGAACACCGGAATATAACACACAAATATTCATAGAAGCCTGATTTTTTGAAAAGCAAAAACAAATAAGAAACCCAAATCCTGGAAATAATTAAAATATCCATTGAGGGGCGCCTGGGTGGCTCAGTCAGTTAAGCATCTGCCTTCTGCTCAGGTCATGATCCTGGGGGTCCTAGGATTGAGACTCCCCCTGCCCCCAGGGCTCCCTGCTCAGTGGGGAGCCTGCTTCTTCTGCTCCCTCTGCTGCTCCCCTTGCTTGTGCTCTCTCACTCTCTCTCTCTCTCAATAAATAAATAAAATCTTTTTTAAAAATGTCCATTGAACCCATCTTCTGCCCGGCACCAGCTGGTGGTACGACGGTCACCGAATTCTATCTTGTGTGGCCCCAGCGGCTCTGGAGGTCGCAATGTCAGGCCCCATTGGGGACCTGGGCATGCCTGTGGAGGTGGGAATGGAAGGCGATGATGACAGCTCCAGGGAAGCAGAGTATACTACCATCGGCTCCATGTTGGACCAGATCAGCTCCTGTCTGGACTACCTAGAGGAGAAGAATGACCACCTACATAACCTCCTCCAGGAGCTGCTTGAATCCAGCTGGCAGACAGGTCTTGAGTGTCAGCAGCAGCTGGGTGAGGCTTCGAGCGATGCTAGCCGCTAGGCTGTGGGAGCCCCCAAGCAGACAGAAACCTGCCTCTCAGGGCTAGGCTCTGGCCTGGGCACACATCACCTGGCTTAGATACCTTCTCAAGGGCTGACCTACAGGTATCTTGGTTGGTTTGCCTGCCTGGGCCCCTCTTCTGGTGCTCCCCTTGGTGTGCCTGGGTCAGCCCCCACCACCTGGCATCCCCTCAGGGGTCAGGTCTGGGCACGCAACCCACCCACCTTGCCTGCCTGCCCAATTCCTGGGCACTCCCCACTCTGCCCAGGCCTTGAGTGTCCACATTAAATGGGTCTCCAACACCAAAAATTAATACTACTACTACTAATAAATAAATAATTAAATGTCCATTGATAGAATAATATAGGGGTATATTTATATCAAGAAATACCATATAGCAGTAAAAAAAAGAATGAACTACAGCTACATGCATCAACATGAATGAATCTCACAAACATTTGAGCAAAAATAATAGTTGCAGAAGAATATATAAATGTGTATGTGATAACTGTGACTTATAATATGAAATGTATATTTGGTCTTGCTGTTCCTGACACATAGCTTTAAAATCCTTGGAATTTCTTAAGTGTTAAGAGTGATAAAGGTGTCTTGTTATTCTTAACAATCCCCTTTCAACTACATGTGAGTTAATGAGATTTTTAGATTTTTATTTTTTTTATTTTTTATTTTATTTTATTTTTATTTCATATTTTTTTAAAATTTTTCGGGGGGGTTGGATTTTTAGATTTTTAGAAAGCCCTTAAGGATGGGAGTTCATTGCCAGTGGAAACAACCAGGAGGGGAGGACCTTTCAGTCCCACCCACTTCACCAGCCCACCTCCTAGGAAGGGAGAGGAGCTAGAGGTTGAATCGGTCACCATTGGCCAATGATTTAATCAATCATGCCTATATAATGAAGCCCCCACAAAACCCCAAAGGGATAGGGTTTGGAGAGCTTCTGGGTTGGTGAACACACAGAAGTTCTGGAATAGTGGAGAGCCCAGAGAGAGCATGGAAGCTCCATGTCCCTGCACTAGGCCTCTCTTCCATCCAACTCTTCCTGAATTATATTCTTTTATGATAAACCTGTAATCTGGTAAGTAAACGTTTTCCTGAGTTCTGTAACCTAAGTGTCCATTGATAGATGAATAAAGATGTGGTATGTATGCATGTACGTACACACACACACATAATGGCATATTATTCAGCCATAAAAAAAAATGAAATCTTGCCATTTGGAACAACATGGATGGACCTAGAGAATTTAATGCTAAGTGAAATGAGTCAGACCGAGAAAGACAAATACCATATGATTTCACTCATATGTGGAATATAAAAAAACAAAACAAATAAACAAAGAAAAAAGAGACAAAGAAAAACCAAACTCAAATACAGAGAACAAACTGCCTGTTGCAACAGGTGGGTGTGGAGATGGAAGAAACAGGTGAAGGGGATGAAGAGTACACTTATCCTAAGGAGCACTGAGAAATGTATAGAACTGTAGAATTATTATATTGTACACCTGAAACTAATATAACACTGTATGTTAATTACACATCAATAAAAAAAGTGTTATCCTCCCAAAAAATCATTGATAGTTTTGGAATGTTTGTTACAGCAACAAAAGCTGACTGATACTGCTGATAGAGATGGGGAATTTCCTACTGGTGACATAGCTCCCCCATCTCCCCCAGGTAAAGAACAAGTAGCAGAGCTTTTGCACCAGTCCGGGTATGAGTTTTGGGCATATTTACTAACATCTTTTGAATTTCAGGTTCTTAATCTATAAAATGATTAAGGTAAAGGTTGGTGTGACGATTAAATAAGATAGTTATGTAAAGCCCATAACTGTACTGAGGATATGCAAAACATGTCTGTTTCCTCCCTAAACATGATGGAAGGAGCAGTGATAAATCCTTGAGGACAGAATGAATGAATGAATGAATGAATGAATGAATGAATGAATGAATGAGTCTTTCCAAATCTGAGTCCTCATTCACTGGAGCCCTCCCAAGGCTGCTTGTCTTCTTGTACCTTTCTTCTTCACTACTGGTTCTTTCTTCAGCTGCTAATTTATCCTGATACTCTTCTCCTCTGGGCAGGGTCTGAGAAGGTTCATTCAGCTTCAGACATGAATCCTGGGTTTCTAAAACGCTGCAGTGCAATGGCTGGGGCCTTTCTTTGCTTCTTCAGAGACATATTTTTTTCTGCTGGATAAATTCTTCCAGTCTTAAAACCTCTCTAGCCATGGTGTCCTCCTCACACCAGCAGAGCCCACCCTGTGGTCCTGGTCAACAACATGGATGTCTACTAGTCTGACTACCCTGAGCCCACCATTGTGAGAATCCCAACCAAGCCAAAAGGAAGGGTTGAAGAAGAGATCAGAGGGCGCTGGCCAACAACCCCAGCGGAGCTCTCAGCCAACAGCCAGCACCAACTTACCAGCTACATGAGTAAGGCATCCTGCAAGTGACTCCTCTAAGAACTGCCCAAGCTGATAGCACCAGGAACAGAGAAATCTGGTTCCACCAAGCCCTGCCAAAATTGCCAAATCATGAACAAATAAAGGAAAAGATTATTGTTTTAAGCCAATAGGTTTTAAGGTAATTGGATATACAGCGATAGATCATTGAAACAAGGTACAGAGCAGAAAAGACACTTTCCTCCTGGGAACTTTTTTCCCCCTAAAAACCTAAGCTCTTTTTTTTTTTTTTTAAAGATTTCATTTATTTATTTGACAGAGACACAGCAAGAGAGGGAACACAAGCAGGCGGAGAGAGAGAGGGAGAAGCAGGCTTCCCGCTGAGCAGGGAGCCCGATGCGGGGCTCGATCCAAGGACCCTGGGATTATGACCTGAGCCCAAGGCAGACGCTTAACTGACTGACAGGTGCCCCAAAAACTAAGCTCTTAGAAGAAAGCAAAGTGTTTTGGAGAGGGGATAAAAATGAATGAAAGACTTATAGGCATTGATAAAGTACTTTGAAGAAAGATGGATTAAAATTAAAAAAGAGATTCCCTCTGGGCTGGTAAGAAGAGATGGTACTCCCAACTCCCCTAAGTAGCTATATAGTGCATCTGAGCAGATGGGATCAAGAGAAGCCTTGTAAGTGATTCCCATGTCCCAGGTGGCACAAAAGCAACAGGAAGCCACCAGATCTAAAGAGGCCATGTTGACAAGGATGAGCTTCTCTCTCCACTACTCAGAACTTAGAACTTGTTAAAACTGGTAACAGAAGGAAACCCAAGATGTTCTCTACCCATCTGGTAGATTGGGGCTTAGAATGATAAACTGTATTATTACAGTGTTTTTAGCTAGCAAAGTCTGAACTCAGATCACTAACATTGTCCTTACCTTTCCTGAAAGAAATGTACTTAAAAAAATGTTTATTTTTAAGTCACCTAGGGGTGCCTAGGTGACTCAGTTGGTTAAGGGTCCAACTCTTGATTTTGGCTCAGGTCATGATCTCAGGGTGATGAGATCGAGCCCCATATCAGGCTCCAAGCTGGGTGTGGAGCCTGCTTAAGATTCTCTCCCTCTCCCTCTGCACCTCCCACCACCCCCCTGCACTCATGAGTGCTCTCGCTCTCTAAAAAATTTTTTGGAAGATGGGAGTATCAAAAACTCACTTTCCTTGCTCTTTATTTTCCTTCTTTTTTTTAAAATTTAAATTCAATTAACATATAGTGTATTATTAGTTTCAGAGGTAGAGTTCAGTGATACATCCGTCTTATATAATATCCAGTGCTCAATACATCATGTGCCCTTCTTAATGTCCATCACCCAGTTACCCCATCCCCACATCCCCCTTGCTCTTTATTTTCTAGGTATTTTTATTTGAGGAGAATTTATCTTCATCCACAAATCCTAACAAGCCGGTATTTCCACCCCCCCCCTTCTTTCTGGCAACTATCCTTGATCTATAATATATTACCAAACTGGTCTCATCACAGTACACAGATAACAGCACCAACCACCAAATCAGCAGGGATTTCCACAAGCTTCCCTCTATTGTGAGGGGCCACTCAGGAGTTCGGCTATGTGACTAGCTTTGACCAATGACATCAGCAAACGTAATGCAAGCAGAGCTTTGGTAGGCACTTGCACATTAGAACCTTTTCTTTTGAGATTCTGTGACAGCCAAGTAAGCAAACTAAGCTATCCTACTAGAGATGCCTAACAGGGGAGAACAGAGCTTCAGTTCTAAATAGCCTCAGCTGCCAGCTATGTGAATGAGACCGTCATGGACCATTCAGCCCCACGCAAGCTGCCAGGGGACTGCTGCAGTGTATGTGATCTCAAGTGAGGCCAGCAGAACTGCCCAGCGAAGCTCAGCCCAAATTTCAGAATCATGAGCAAACACACGGCTTCTGTTTGAAGCCACTAAATTTTTTAAAATGAAAACTATCTACTGACCACTGGTCAACAATATTTACAATGAAGTAAGCAATCAATACACAGTTGGATAACATTCTGATTACTATAAAGTTACCATTTCTCCAGACTTCTGCTGAACCAGTAACACAAACATTGAAAAGACTGAGGCTGCAGGTAAGGAATGGGTTGGGTAAAGAAAAAACACACAAATCAATAGTTGAAATTACAAAAGTTTGTTTGCTCATTTATGCTAGCAGGTCCGAAACAGCAACATTTCTAATCATCAGATTGGTTTCCACAGATCCTGGTCTTTTAGTCAGTATAGCACAAGGATTTCAATCTTTCGTAAAGGAATGGTTCTCTAGGGGGTACTTTGAATGCCCATTTAACCAAGACTTGTTTGGCTTATTAAAACACATCATTTGTTTAGTCTTCTCCTCTGAGTGGGAAGGTTATTGGGAGTGGTAAAATTTTTCCTTCAGGGAGTTTTGCAAATAAACTGTTGCACTAATATAATTATAGATATAGATAGGAATTGTGATAAGTCTACTTTAAATTCTCCAATTAAAATAGTTTTTATTTAAATTGTCCAATTAATTGTAGAATCATCTACTTGCTTGAAGTTTTATGGCTTCAGGAAAATTTTCCATTTCCCTTGAGGCAATCTATTTCTTGCTTTTCTCAGAAAGATGGCATCCCAGAAACAATATGGACTTACCCATGATTGTGAAATGCCATTTTTGTTTTGGTGAATGTAAAAAAGACAAAAACAAAAACCCAACAACCATTTACACTTGTATAAATAAACAAACAAAAACCCAGAATGGTCCTTAGTCATTATTGGTTAAACATAAGTTCTGATTGAGTTATGACTATGGAAATTTTTTCTAACATTTAGAAAAACTGCTCTTTAATGAGAGAGAGAGAATAATCTACCATGGTATCATATGTTCTTTTTTGATAAATGAAGCAACTACAGTAAGCTTTTATTTGTCCAAAGTAACCAATGCTATTGATGCAAGAAACAAAAACAACCCAGCAATTCCTTTGATACTATTCAAAATAAACAGATTAAATCTGATTTTCATTAGAATATAGTTATTCACACGAATGAGTCATAGAACCAAGACCCATACATATATATATGAATATGAATGATTATTGAGCATCTTCCGGACAAGAATGCAAAGTTTCTCTCTCTTTATAAAAAGCAATTACGGGGCGCCTGGGTGGCTCAGTCGTTAAGCATCTGCCTTCCGCTCAGGTCATGGTCCCGGGGTCCTGGGATCGAGCCCTGCATCGGGCTCCCTGCTGGGCAGGAAGCCTGCTTCTCCCTCTCCCACTCCCCCTGCTTGTGTTCCCTCTCTCGCTGTGTCTCTCTCTGTCAAATAAATAAATAAAATCTTTAAAAAAAAGGCAATTACAATTTGAGGACACTTCATGTTTGCCTCTTTTGCCAGCACCAAGTCTGTCTCATCTGCATCTCTCTGTTTCATGAGAAAGATGAACTCTCTGCTGCTGTCTGTGACACTATTTGTTCAGGACAAAGACCACTGGCAAAGTGTCTTGGTTTGTCAGCAGCATCTCTTTTCTTCTTTGATTTGCTGTCATCAGATTCACTGTCAGATAAATACTTTCTTTTTGTCCTATCTTTTTCTTTAACAACTTTTTCAGAATTAAGAAATAGTTCGATTAACTCTGGATGATCTAAATTTTCTTCAGGTTTTCAAGTATTGTCAGAGTTTGTAAATCTCTTCCATTTAAGGAAGTACTTCACCTTCCCGTTCTCTACACATTGGTACAGTGCTTTTTCCACCACCAAATCTTCAGGCTCTTCAACTTCAGGCTCTTCAACTCTTACTCTTTCCATCTGTTTCTTTTCCATATTTTTGCAATGTAGCTTTATTGGAGGCCATTTTTAATTGTGGAGGTGAAGAATTATATTCCTCACTGCCTCCAGCAGGTCTAGTCTGGGTTTGTGGCATTTCAGATTATGTGGCCCACATCCCAGGAGGAGGGCCATGGAGAGCTGTGCAAGAGGCCACTTAGTTTTTAGGGTAGGTTGTTACGCAGCAATAGATAAGTGATACAGGGGCACTTATACTCTATATTTTAAGATGGCTAATGAAAATAAAAATCGAGCTAGTTGAAGAGAACTAGTTGTGCTACTGGGTTATTTCAAACTTTTTTTTATTTTTTAAAAGATTTTATTTATATGAGAGAGAGGGAGAGCAGGAGAGAGGGGGCAGGTCAGAGGGAGAAGCAGACTCCCCGCTGAGCGGAGAGCCCGACACGGGACTCGATCCCGGGACTCCAGGATCATGACCTGAGCCGAAGGCAGTCGCCCAACCAACTGAGCCACCTAGGCGCCCTTACTTTTTTAAAAAGATTTTCATTGTTTATTTGACAGAGAGAGAGAGAGAGCAGGAACACAAGCAGGGGGAGTGGGAGAGGGTGAAGCAGGCTTCCCGCTGAGCAGGGAGCCTGACATGGGGCTCCATACCAGGACCCTGGGATCATGACCTGAGCAGAAGGCGGATGCTTAACAACTGAGCTACCCAGGCGCCCCATTAAACTTTTTTCAAATTGAATAAAGAAAAAACTCATCTTTTTTTTTTGTTTTTTAAAGATTTTATTTATTTATTTGACAGAGAGAGAGATTAAGCACAAGTAGGCAGAGCAGAAGGCAGAGGGAGAGGGAGAAGCAGGCCCCCCTGCTGAGCAGGGAGCTGGATGCAGGGCTGATCCTAGGACACTGGGATAATGACCTGAGCCGAAGGCATATGCCCAACTGACTGAGTCACCCAGGCGTCCCTAATCTTTCTTTCTTGATAAAGGTATCTGAAGAGTTTCGCTCTGAGAACAAGTGAATGGAAAATGGTTCTGAGGCTGTTCAGATCACCATACTCAGACATAAGACTGATTCAGACTTGACCTCTAAGAAGATACTATTAATGCTTCCACCAATGGTTGCCCATAATATTGTAGTAAACTTCTCTGGCAGTTTTCTCTCTCTCCTCTTGGCAATTATCTTGAAATCTCTTCTAAAGATATGAAAAGTTTGTTTGTATCCACCTATATGTGCAATTTGGAATTACTGTATGGAGAAATAAGAAATTGCCCTGATGATGAACTGGACCTAATCTGAATTTGATGAAATAGTTAGGCAATTCATTTTACCCAATTTTTTTCTTGAGCCATTTAAATCAAAGACTATTACATAATGGGATCGAAGGAAAAGGTCACATGAACTTGAGAGACATCAAAGCAATCCCATAAGAACTGGAGGTTACTTTGGTCTGTCTTTCCCTACTTCTCCCTTCAGGAACAGGAATAGCATTTGGCCACAACTTGCGTCTTGCCAATTTTTTTCTTCACCATCCACAGCTCCAGTTTCCCCACTTCCAGTCCTAATTACGTTCTGCAAACATACATGCCTTCACACTCTTGTTCCTACTGTGTTCTACCTTGAATATCATACATGTCTAGCCACTCCCCTCCCCCAGGATTCTGGAACCTCTTTATATGGACAAGCAAATCTAAGTTTCTAACATACACCAATGGTAAGAATCTATCTATATAACTAACCATGAAGGTCTTTTCAAACCTAGTAAAACAGAAAATATACTAAATACCCATTGGAGAATCGAAAAATCCCTCCGTCTGCTACCTTGGGCTCAGCGAATTTACATGTCACTCTCAAGTACAAAATATTCACTAGATATTTTTAAGAAGTGGGGGCGCCTGGGTGGCTCAGCCCTTAAGTGTCTGCCTTAGGCTCAGGTCATGATCCCAGGGTTCTGGGATCCAGCCCCGCATCAGGCTCCCGGCTCCACCGGACGCCTGCTTCTCCCTCTCCCACTCCCCCTGCTTGTGTTCCCTCTCTCCTGGTGTCTCTCTGTGTCAAATAAATAAAATCTTAAAAAGAAATGGAAAGTAAATGACTAAACGAATCCTCCCAACAATGACAATTTTATTTTAGTTAGGGCACTACGCGCCCATGGTAAGGATATTTAATGAAACGTAATAAAGGCTTTTACTCAACGAGTACTGTATGTTAAGTATTTTGCTAAAATCACCTAACTTAATCCTTTGGCGTAGGTGTTCTAATTCACAATTTTTAGCAACATGACAACAGCTGTGGAGGTAAGGTCACTGCAGTGAGAAGGTTTAGACACGGAGCCACTTCAGGACCCTCGGAGGCCCCCCGCGGGAGCCACAGTGACGTCACAGCATCTCGGTTCGGACGTTCTCAGGGTCAAGCTTTGTCTCAGTGGCCCACATTGGAGCCCACATAAAACCACTAGCAAATGAGGTGGAAGAGGCGGCCCAGGGTGTCCGGGCGTCTATTTTCTCCGCGTAGGGACACACGTGCTCGCTACGAAGGAAATCCAACCCAGCGAGGCCTGCCGGCCTGCCGCTTCCCGCCGCCGCATTCCCGCGACCCGGGCGCGGGGCAGCATCCCTGGCCGGGGCAGCACCACCACGGCGCCGGGAGATCGAGGCCAGGCAGATTCGGTCGGGCGTCACGTTGAGTCTAGAAGGTACCAGGACCCTAACGGCCGGCACAAAACAACCACTCCGAAGACCCCCCCCCCGCCGCCGGTCTTGGCACTAGCTCTCCCTCCTAGGCTTTGGGTCTCCCCTCAAGAGCGCAGGCGCCCGCAAGGAACCGCGCTTCCCTCGCAACTTCTCGAAGGCGAAAGGGGCGGGCCCTGGGCGGTGGGCGCTGAAGCCCCGCCCCGCTCGCGCGGCCTGCCGGATTCGCCCCGCCTCCTCTGCGCGGCGGTCGGCCCTTCTTCCTTCTGCGCCACAGCCCCGGGCGGCCGCCCTGGTCCGGGGTCCAGCTGCGAGGTTTGCGTGGGAGGCGGCGGGCGCGGGTCCCGGCCCTACGAAGAGCGCGCTGCGCGCCCCCTTCTCCCCGGGAGCGACGGGCCGCGGAAGTGACGTGTGCACGAGCAGGAGCTCGTTTGAATCGGTTCCCGGGTGATCCTCGCGCCTGCCGCTGCTTGGCCGCCGCCTCCGCCGCTGAGGGAGGAGCTGCAG